TTATTAAGGGCTTATATTAGAGGGAGCGTTCTATATACTTAAAGACTTATTCTTATAAGCCTTAGTACTACTTTAGTAAGACTTTAACTAGTTTATAATAGTTAAAGTAAACTATAACGGCTAAGCGCTTAAATATTATAACTATAGCTACTAGGCCGCTAATAGTCGACCGCGTTAAGCACGTAATATAGTCTAACGGATAAATAGTTAGTATAACTATCTAATAGATATAGGATTAAGGGGATCGTAGAGATCTAAGTAATCTAGGATTAATAAGATTACTACGCTCTATATAATCTAACGTTAGGGATTATAGCTAGGCCTATAATATAAGGATAGTCTTTATAGGTATATATAGCTACCTACTTATACTCCTTTAAATAGATAGCTCGATAGCTTTTAATATATTATAATTATTACGATCTCTATTACGATCTTATTTATAATTCCGATTACTTAATTACTTAGTTATAGTTTATAGTCTATAACCTCCGACTTATTACTAATATAATATACTTATTATTACTTAGACTACGCCCTATTATATCTACTAATATAAACCCCTTAATAGGTTTATCCCTTAAGAATAATACTAGTCGTTATACGTTAAAAGCTCTTATTTAATATAATACTACGTTACTTTAAGTAATATTATAACTATTAATATACTTATATAGTAAACTAGATTAACTAACTCTAGAGCTTCTATATCGCCTTAGGATATAATACGCGAGATTATCGCCCTTTAATATAAAGTTTAGTTACTTAGGAATAAAGGAGGTAATAAATAAGTTAAGGACCTTAGAGAAGTAGTTAAACTAAAATAGCTAGGATTATTTAACGGTACTTATAGTATACTTTAAGACTTTCTTACCTAACTTAAGGCCTACTACTATTTTTACCTTACTAAACTCTTAGACCTAGTTAAAAAGGTACTTTATATAGGAAATTATTTATCTAAAATAGTACTTACTTAGTTTAGACCTATTATAAGGGATTTTCTTAATAACTAACTAGCGCGATAAGATAATAAGATAGATAAAGTCTTTATTAGTTTTTAAGGATTTAAAGAAGCTATTATAAAGGTATTTAAAATAACCGATAAGGAATAAGAAGCTAAATAAAAACTTTAAGAACTCCGATAAAGGATCTTAGTATCGGATTATACTATAAAGTTCTATTAAATTACCTTAAAACTTAATTAAGATAACGAACCTCTTATATTATAATTTTATAATAGGCTTAAAGAAGAAGTTATAGATAAACTTTATAAAGAAAATCGGCCTAATAACCTCTTAGACTATATTACTATAGTAGTACGAATTAATAATAGATAGTATATATAATACTAAGAAAGGAAATAAGGAAGAGGAAACTAAAACCCTTTATATAAAAATAACTTTAGCTAACGCGCTAATAATAAGAAAAAGCGCGAAATATAAATAGCTTAGGTATATATAATAAATCCTAGACTAATAGATTTAAGTATAATATAAGAAGGTAAAGGAAAGTATTTTAACTATAAAAAACTTAGATATTACTTTAAAGAATATAAATAACCTTATAAAGAGAAGAAAACCTACTAAGTACTAGCTTTAAAAGGTAAGAAATACTTAAACGCTATTAATAGATAAGAACCTAAGTATAAACTCCTTAGTTAAACTATACTTTATAATAATAAATATATAGTATACTTAAGTAATAAGAATAGTACTAAATAGTTCTTAAAGCTATTAAAGAAGACCCTTATAATAATATAATAAAGGGATCTTAAAATATAGAAATAAGTTAAATTTATAAAACTAAAATACCCTTATCTTAAAGGAGTCTCTTAGAACTAAATTAAGAAGAATAATAAATAGTTTTAGAAAGATATATAAAATAAAAATCGATAATAATAATAGGTAGTCTATAAATAATATAATAAAGAAGATATAAATATAGCTCTTATACTTACGAAACTTAGATAATAACTTAAGGAGGAATAATAAAGTATCGACGATATAAGCTTTAAAAAAATAAGAAATACCTAGAGAAATAAAAGATAAGAACGAACTTATAGTACTATCCTTACTATTAAAGGAAAATACTATAATTAAAGAATATACTTTATACTTTAAAGAATTTAAAGAAATACTTAAAATTAAAACTTAATAAATACCTTAAATTCTTATAGAAAACTAATAAGCTATATTAATTCGGTATTAATAAGCACTATATAGAGGAGACTATACTATAGCTATCGCTATAGTTAATACCTTTATAGCTCTATAATAAGAATAGTAACTATAAAGAGAATTTAAAAATAATCTATAAATACTACTTACTTATAAGTACTATAAGTATATTTTATAGATATTATACGTTTACCTAGATTATATAATATACTTTTAGATAAAGGTATAATATAACGCTTTCTTAGTTAGGTTTAAAGGATAAGTACTTTTAAAACCCTACCTAAGTATAAAACTAAACTACTAGAAAAACGATTAACGCTACCTAAATAACTAAGTTATATTATTAGAACCTAATTATAGTACGCTACTTAAATACTACGATAATTATAGTTTATTAACGAGATATCTTTTAAAGATATATAAAATTTATAAATACGCTAAAATAAAAGAATAGTATAGCGCTACTTACTCTAAGGTATTTAAACTATTAATCTTTTAAAGGCTTATATAATAAGTTAAATATAATAAAGAAGATTATAATAAATATATATACCTAAACTATAGAGTTTAGAAATACGAAAAGGTATAAGTATAGTATAAATAATATAACGGTATACTAAAATATTATTAGTAATATATATAAAGGCTATAAGTGTCACGGGCTGTGCCCGGCTGGTGGACCCGGTTGTACCGGGTCCGGTGGGTCGTGCTCCGGTGGCAACACCGGCCCCGCTCCGCGGACCCAGAAGCTGCGAGAACATTCCGAGAAGGGCAATATAGCTGCACTCGAGGCTACGCCTCGAGTTCAGCTTCTTTCCTCCTTAGCTCTAGATAGACAACACCTAGGCACCTGCTTGTTGAATAAACTCCGGGCCAGCCTTTCACATATCTAGAGCTCCTTCTAAATACCGCAAGCTGCAGACTGCTCGTCAGGATGGACCAGCAGAGTGAGAGCCCAAGTCTCCAGCAGCAATGGATTGACCAACGCATTCAAGAAGCGGTCAATGCGACTCTCAGCCCTCTACAGGACCAACTTTCCTTGCTGATGGAGCAACTCGGCGAGCGCAGCCGCAGAGCGCCGACTTGCAATCGCCGCCAGTGGCACGAGGATTGGGCGAGAGCACGCCTGGCTTGGGCACGCCTCCCAAAACCTGCGGTACTGGAATGCGGAAACCGTTGCCCAACCCACCCAAGTATGACGGCTCACGGAAGAGCTACTCCGCCTGGGCCAGGCAGATGCGAGACAAGCTGGACCTTGATGCACACTACTACAGTGGAAATCGCGAACTTTGGTACCTCATCAACTCATGTTTGGACGAGCGACCACAGCAAGTGGTCGCTACCTTTACGCCGCGGAGGCCCTGGGGTAGCTACGACCCCAAGAGTTCATGCGATACCTCGACCGAACCTACCAGGACAGCAACATCCAATCCCGCGCTGCTGCCACGCTGAGAACTATGCGGCAGCGCGAAGACCAACCTCTCGCGTCCTTCCTTCCCCGATTCGAACAGGCATTAGCTGAAGCCGGGGGAGCAGACTGGCCGGACAGTGCAAAGATCGTATTTCTAGAGAACGCAATAAATGCACGCCTCCAAGAGAGTTTGGTCACAGCCGTCCTACCCGACGACTACCAGGGATGGCTTGCGAGAGTTCAGGAAATTGCGGGCAGATTGGAGAGACTGAAACCCGGTAGGCAGCCGACGTCGACTGAGCGGACGCCTCAACAGCTACCAAGGCAACGACCAAGGAGGAACCGGAGGACCCCGACGGAGATGTTAAGATGACGGACATCAACCGTATTGGCCACGAGTCGAAGGGTCGTCGACATGTCGATAAGAAGCCGAAGGATGAGCGCCGCTGCTATCGCTGTGGTCGGACGGATCATCTTATCGTGGACTGCCCAGCCCAGGTGGTCTTTCCTGGCGAAGGGAAGCAACAGCGACCTAAAGCTGCGCGCATGAAGAAGCCCGATGCCGCAGATGATTCGGAATCAACCGCAGCATCCAGTGAGGACGAGTCGGCGGGAAAGACTAGCCCCGGGGCGAAAGCGGGCGCCGGGGCCTGCAAAGGCAGACATCGGGGACTGGGAAGCGTTCGCCACGAATGAATAGTCGGACTGTATTAGTCAACGCGCGGGTAAACCGAGGCTATCGAATACGCGCCCTTGTCGACTGTGGATGTGACTGCTATGCCGTGATCGACGAAGCCCTTGTTCGGAAGCTGCGGATACCCTTCGTCGACTCGAAACCACGAGAAATTGGGGATTCTCAGAGTCAGCGAAGAGTGTCATATCCCCAGGGTCGTGGCTGTTGTGGTCGAGACAGCTGGATTTGACGAACGTGTCTTTGCATACGTGATCCCAAGCCTGGGCCAGGACATGTTCCTCGGCCGGCCTTGGATGGAGAGAAATCACGTCGTGTACGATGCTGCCAAGCAGCGAATGTACCATGGGAGGGCAGGTGTGACGATACGCCTCATTGGGCAGGAAGAGCCCGCCAAGATACGCGCGATTCGAAGCGCAAGACTCGTGTCGGCAGCCGTATTCACGGCGGAGTGTCGACGCGCAAAGAGACGCAAGAAGTGCAACGCGATCTCGATTCATGCAATCAGTTTGTCGGATATAGAGAGGGCGCTTCAGCCGAAGCCGCCAGTCGATCCGAGCGAGAAGGTCCCGGCAGAAGTGCTGAAAGAATTCCGCGACCTATTCTCACCAGGAGAGGCAATGAAGCTGCCGCCACATCGACCGGGTGTGGATCATGAAGTCAACCTGCAGCCTGACAAGAACGGCAACGAGCCACCCTTCCGTGGGGCCCACTCTACAACATGTCACGAGAAGAGCTGTTGGTCTTGCGAAAGACCCTGAAAGACCTGCTGGACAGAGGATTCATCCGAGCGAGTAGCTCAGCGGCTGCCGCGCCGGTGCTGTTCGTGCGGAAGCCGAATGGAGGGCTGCGATTTTGTTGCGACTACCGAGCGCTGAATGCAATCACCAAGCGCGACCGATACCCACTGCCCTCATCGCGGAGACCCTGCAGAATCTGGCCAAGGCTAAGTGGTTCACCAAGTTGGACGTGGTGGCCGCTTTCCATAAGATCCGCATGGCTCCGGGACATGAGGGAAAGACTGCATTTCGCACGAGGTTTGGGCTCTACGAGTGGCTCGTGTGCCCTTTCGGCCTGAGCGGCGCCCCGGCATCATTCCAACGATACATGAACAGTGTATTGCGCGAATGGCTGGACGACTTTGTCACAGCGTACCTGGATGATGTACTGATCTACTCGAGCGGTTCGAAGGCGGATCATGAGGCTAAGGTGCGACGAGTTCTCCAAGCACTCGCCGACGCTGGGCTGCACCTAGACCCAGCGAAGTGCGAGTTTTCGGTACAAGAGGTCAAATACCTTGGGTTCATCGTCAACGCAGGAAAGGAATCGCCTGCGACCCCGAAAAGCAGCGCGCCATCCGCGAATGGGAGGCCCCGACCACGGTGAAGGGTGTCAGAAGCTTTCTGGGCTTCGCCAACTATTACCGGATCTTCATCCCCGACTATGCCAAGATCACGCAGTCTCTGGATGCCCTGCTTAAGAAAGGAACTGCCTTTCATTGGGGACGAGCGGAGAACGAGGCGTTTCAGGAGCTGAAGCGACGATTTTGCGAGTCACCGGTGCTCAAGCAGTGGGACCCGAGCCTCCCGACCTTTTTGGAGACGGATTGCTCAGGCTACGCATTGGGAGGCGTCCTGTCGCAGGAAGGCCCAGATGGACGTCGACACGCATGCGCCTTCTTCTCGAAGCGACTTTCGCCAGCGGAGTACAACTATCCCATTCACGACAAGGAGATGCTTGCCATCATGAGATGTCTCGACAACTGGAACGCCGAACTTAGGAGCTGCGGCCCATTTACAATCCTTACCGATCACCGCAACCTGGAGTATTTCATGACACGCCAGAAGCTCACGGAACGGCAGAGCCGTTGGGCAGCCGAATTGTCCCAGTTCGACTTCAAGCTCGAGTATCGACCGGGAAGCGAGGCTGTCGTGCCTGATGCGTTGTCCCGCCGTGAACAAGACAAGCCACAGGGCATCGACGACGAGCGGGAACAAGGAAGAATGATACAGTTGATACCGGATAGTGCCATTCCATCATCGACAAGAGCATGTATCAACGCGATGAGTTCTGACTGTTCAGAGGCATCCACCCTGCCGAAGATGAAGGTCTTCGAGGTAGCGGACCTGCAGCAACTCTGGGACGAAACGGTGGCGAAGGACTCGATATTCCGGGCAGCCTATAAGGCAGTCCGCGATCGCGAGCGTGCCTTCCCGCCCTCGCTGGGCCTGAAGATCCAGATTTCAGAATGTGCGATCGACGCAGGCAAAGGCTGACATTCAGAGACCGTATTTGGGTGCCGGGTGGATCCGGAGAGGAGGGTAACCAGGAGGAAGCTGAGAAAGACCAGTTGAGAACCCGCATTGTGCAGCAGTCGCATGACTCTGTTGCGACCGGTCATCCCGGCAGGGAAGGTACGCTGGCTATTGTGGCTCGGCGATTCTACTGGCCTGGGCAGTCCCAGCTGGTTCGCCGGTACGTAGCCAATTGCGACACCTGCGGCAGAGCACACATCTGGCGCCAGTCGAAAAGGGATTTCAAGCCTCTGCCGATTCCAGATCGACCCCGAAGCCATTTGTCCATGGACTTCATCACAGATCTGCCGCCTACTGGACCGAGCAAGGCAAGGTACCTGTGGGTGATTGTGGACAGACTGACAAAGGCTGTGACCCTCGAGGTGATGGACAACATGGAAGCTGAGCCGTGCAAACCGTTTTCCAGTGTCATTACCGATTTCACGGAATGCCACGGTCCATCGTCAGCGACCGCGGGAGCAACTGGCTAAGTAGGTTCTGGAAGAGGTTCTGCCGTCTTGCAGGTGTCACGCAGAAATTGAGCACGGCCTATCATCCTCAGACGGACGGAGGGCCAGAGAGAATGAACCAGGAGATCGAGGCCTACCTGAGAGCCTACGTGTCGTACGTGCAGGACGACTGGGGAGAACTGCTCCTGCCGCGCAGCTGGCACTCAACAATCGTGAATCCGCAGCGACCAAGATCAGCCCCTTTTCGCTGAGCATGGTTACCACGTCGATCCCATCAGCGTCGAGGAATCGGAAGAGCCACCGAGGCATAGAGAGAAAGCAGAGCTGATAGCCTACTCAGTCGCCTGCAGGAGGTCAATGAGTACATGCAAGCAGTGATGGCCTCCTCACAGCAACAACAAGAAGAGGCTGCCAACGCAAAGCGACAGCCTGCGGAGCGATTTGAAGTTGGTGACAAGGTGTGGCTCTCGATGGCAAACTACAGATCGCCACGACCGTGCAAGAAGCTCGACTGGCTGCATCACAAGTACACAGTCACGAAGGTAATTAGTTCGCACGTTGTTGAGCTCGATGTTCGTGGCTCAATTTACCCGCGATTTCATGTTGACCTTTGCGGCGGGCGCATCAAGATCCGGCTCCTGGCCAAAGGTAGATGACGCACAGCCACCACCGGTACAAGATGAGTCCGGCACGGATCTGTGGGATGTCGACGAGATCCTCTGCGCGAGATGGAAGAAGCGCGGACGAGGGGAATTCAGGCAAGCACTAGTGCGATGGACGGGCTACGCAGAGCCGACTTGGGAGCCAGTTGAGTGGTTGCAAGGAACAATTGCGATGAAGGCATTCGAGGACAAGTACGGGCCAATCAAGACCAATGATGGCCCTAGGGAGAGGTACGAGACGCTGGCAGGAACGCAAGAACCCCGCAGACGCCGACCTGGTCGGAGGGGACAAGGGGGGTAATGTCACGGGCTGTGCCCGGCTGGTGGACCCGGTTGTACCGGGTCCGGTGGGTCGTGCCCGGTGGCAACACCGGCCGCCCGCGGACCCAGAAGCTGCGAGAACATTCCGAGAAGGGCAATATAAGCTCGCACTCGAGGCTACGCCTCGAGTTCAGCTTCTTTTCCTCCTTAGCTCTAGATAGACAACACCTAGGCACCTGCTTGTTGAATAAACTCCGGGCCAGCCTTTCACACGTGCCCTCTCTTCCTCGCTGGAGTTTGCAACTGTGAGTTTTGCGTGGGGAATACAGGGTCCGCGGGCGATAGCTGCGGCTCAAGGACCTTCTTTAAAGCATGGGAAAAGTCGGCCTGCCGCACCGCGGATTCCTTAAGTCTTTGCTTGTCGGCGTCAACAATGCTCCTCCGCATCTTCTTCGAGTACCGTTCCGTACATGACAGCGATTGCCACGAAGAATCGTCACTCGCCGATAGTCCCGAAAGTTGTTGGTCATCCTCAGCTTTAACGCCTAAAAGCAATCAGCTGGCGGCGTATCGAGGACATCGCGAATAACCTACGGTATGACGACCATAGTTGCATTTTCCTTTTCCAGCTAGTATAGTATTGATCGTTTCGGTCTTGCTCGGTCTGCGCCTCATAATTGATGACAACGTCTTTTGGCGGCCCATTGGTAGCGCGTTCGAGAGGATAGAATTTCGACTCTAAGACTTCAACCTGACGGCTCCAGAATGCTGCATCATCATCGCCTTGCGGCTCATCGCCCCGACAAGTAATGGCTCCCTTCTCGTCAATGTAAACCTCAGCATCGTCGATATACTTCAAGCCTTGGGGTCCAAAGTGTCTAAGGCTTCGTAAGATGCCAACAATCCCTTCTTTGGAGCGTCGTATCTGTGCTGCTGGTGACTCTTCGCGGGATGGGGATGATGAGCAGGAAAACGCGTCGTCATACTCCCGAAGATTCGCTTCGGTAAGCTCCATATTTGAAAGTGATTGGCGCAGGAAAGGACGCAGGGTCAATGCTAGACTTGAGAGCACCGTTCGTGGGCGGAAGGAAGTGGCTCCATCTTGCTAGATCCAGGCGCGGTGGGGAGATGATGCACTTCGTAGCCTGAGGCAGAAATATTGACCTCGGACTTAAGGCCGCCAAGACATCTACTCCACCAGCCCCTCACCCCTTACACCCCTGGCTTCTATCGTAGTACTTCTATCGACCTATAATACAGCAAAAGACCACGCTTGATTAATGTACCCCAGTGTACATAGGACGATACTAGGTCCTTTTGTTGTGGGGCTGCTCAGTAGTCAAGATCCACCGGCTTGTAGCCTTGAGACTTCCAAAGGTGGGTGATGTGCCTCTATCCGTCACCACTTGGCCATGCAACCCATTCGAGGGGGCTTGCCTGCCACGGCGATATCCAGGTGCGTGAAACCATTGGACGAGAACGCCCAGCTTGCATTTTCCTAACGATAGACAGCGCGTAGCGTGCCTCTCGCAAATATATTTAATTACGCACGTCAGCCCTCAACTTCGACACGAGCCACTCCCATGACTACCACTTCCAATCACCTGGTTTATACCCCTGAGTTTGCAGCCAGCGCTTCGAAACATGGCATTAGATTCAGATATTCAGTCTATCCTAGAGATAAACTCGAGCAGTCGGCCTGTCATCGAATACTTGCACAACAAAAATTTCGCTGTCTCAAACGAGACGCTGAGCTATGCCAGCGACCTTTTTCATCATAAATCCACGGCCCCTGGCTCCGGTGACGGCAATAGCTTGAGGGACGTTACCCCTGCCCCTTCGAGCCTCGCTCCTGGTTTTCTACGGATCAGCGCGGATCCCCGGCGCCGCCCAAAAGACGCAAATAGGGGTTGGGTATTTGGCAGCAACCCCCAGGTTTCCGACATCCTTCTAGCCTACAACAATAAGCACGGGGTCAGTGGCTCGCAATTCGCCATCAGGATGCAAAAAGAACCCGGCATATTCATTGTGTTAAATCTCAGTCGGCATGGGACATTGACGAGAGCTGTCGATTCTTCTACCGATCCTGGCTTCACCCGCGTCAAGTCTCAGAGAGCCTTTGGCACTTATGCGGGCGTTAGTGAAATGACGATCCAACTGGGTGAGCTGACGGTCAAGCTATCCTGCCCCGACTATTCGAGTTACCGTTACGGTTTTGAAGACCATTGGTCTAAGCTCTACGCCGAGCTCTCGGCGCAAGTCCCGACCCTCAACAACTTGGCCTTAAGCGCCGGTCCGAGTTCTACGCACAATTCGATAGAGTACTACCTCAACGGCAGAATCGGAGACGGAGATGGTGGCTGTGTATACCGCGCAGTTAATCGGGTTACGGGAGATGTTTACGCGGTAAAACGATACTGGAGCAGCAAAGATGTGAGGAAAGAGGTTGCCCTACTTTCGCGGATTCAACATGTAAGAACCCGACGGGCTATTTGGCAAACGGAAAAGCTGACCATCTCTTAGGAACACATTGTTGAGTTTCACTCTTACAGCGAAGCAACAAATGAGCTCGTCTTGGAATACGTTTGCGGCCTGACCCTTCGCATGGAACATGCAAAAATGCGATTCAACATGCTTGAGCTGAAGCTCTTTTCGAAGCAAGCTCTTGACGCCCTGTCGTACTTGCATGAGAAGCGTATAACTCATCGAGATCTTAAGTTAGACAACGTCGTCGTGCAGAGGCGGACCCCATTGCATATCAAAATCATCGATTTCAATGTGGCGTCAGACCTCGAGCAGATGAAAACTTACGTTGGAACGCGTCGTTATATTGCGCCTGAGGTCATCAACAATCGTAGCACCTATGACAACAAAGCTGATTTATGGTCGTTGGGCATTATGGATATGGAGCTCTTTTGTGGATTGCCACTGTCGGAGAACGACCACGACCCTGGCGCGCTTCGCTTTCACCTATATTTTAAGGGCAAGGGGTATAACGGTGCCGTTTCTTTTATCAACCACCTCCTTTGCGAAAAGCCCGTCTTTCGACCTACTGCCAAACAAGCGCTTTGCCTCGAATTCCTTGACATACAAGAAGGCGATGCTATCACTGCCCTACCACCTTTGGACACAAGCAACGAGGAATCGTCCTCGAACATCAGCAGTAAGGAGCCACACTTTGACATTATCGTCAGAGATATGCCTAAGACATTGCCGTGGGGAATGCCACGTCCTTTAGACGCCAACGCCACCTGTACAGCGAACAGCTCCTTAGATCCCACGATTTCAAGACACCGAAAGAGGACGCGAGGAGATGAAGACGCAACTGAAGGTACTGGTAGTGCACCCGTTCGCTCCAGATATGGTGCCAGCCGCGGCGTCATGACAATCTCTAGCATTTTGAGGTCGGAGCTGTGGGTTTCCACATTGTCAGAGCCGCTGAGAGAGGAAAAAGAAGCAAGTAGACGGTCGACGAGTTGCCACGTAGGGGATATCATCGATGCATCGAGCGCGAATGACGATTTTTCTCGGATACCCGAACTCTCCGTACCTGATCCATCCATTGCGTTTGACACACCGAGCAAGGCCGGAACGTCTGACGCAGATAGCTTGTCTGAACCGGCTCATACGCACGAGGCCGCCGAGCTTGTTTAGATTTCGCGCTTGAGATCGAGATCGTTGCGATTTGAGGAGGGTCTAACATACTTGGTGTACCGCCGCTAGAGGATGTCGATGCGCACGAAAGACTAACGACTGAATACCAGCCAAATTTGTGCTGCTGCACGTCTTAGTGGAGTGCGTCGTCGTAACTATCTAGACAGGATTAGGATGCAGAGTGATATCGATGTCGTACGCCGGGCCTCCCGGGTTCTATTTCGAGACGGCGTCTTCCTCTGCCAATTCTGCAACCAGACATCATAGTCAAAGATCTATTTTCTCAAGCACCATTACTTATTCCTGACAAATAAATAAACTATCTCCTCAAGAAGCAAAAAGCCGATGAGACTTTCTAGGATATTTATGTTTTAAAGGAGGCTATATGGCGATGTCTTATGGGGTCACTTGGTCCTCTTTCATGCAGAGAAACTCGATATCAACGTGACTAATATTCTTAAACTAAAGGATAACGTCACAAGCCCGTGGGAGTTCTTCCGGCACCATGCTAATATGAAAAAGCGTTCGATAGTAGGAGGGAAGGCGTTGGAGCGGGGGACGTATGTAGCTGCTGATCACGCTCGACAATTTAGTGACTGATTTAATCACCATACCAAGGGTCCCGCGAGTATAGGGTATTATGACCTCGGGGTGTGGTTGAAAGTCTACCTAGAGAGTGTTGCGACAAAGAAAGATCAAGGAGCTCAGGTACTATAGGGACCGTGTCGAAATCAGGAAATGAGCGTCTGCAGCCGTACTGCTCCCTGCATAACACGTAAGTTACGCACTGCCTCCTATCCAGCCATCGGGTTTTGTGTTCTTTTGACGCAGGGGAATTTTATGCCGGGCACCTTAGAGAACTCGGAAATTATCACAAAAGCTACGGATAGTCAAAGTTGCGTCATGCATTTTAAGACTCTTTAGCGTGATAAGCATTTACGGAGTGCGGCCGGGTCGCGGCACAGGCACCGATGGGCAGGGGCTTGCATGAAAGAGTGCTTTTGTCTGACCTGCAGATGACTTTGTTTTGGTGAGTTTGCGAAGGCGAGTTTGCGAAGGTGAGATTGCGAAGGCGAGATTGCGAAGGCGAGTTTGCGAAGGTGAGATTGCGAAGGCGAGATTGCGAAGGCGAGTTTGCGAAGGTGAGATTGCGAAGGCGAGTTTGCGAAGGCGACTTTCCTAATCGACCCCCTTTAATCACCCTGTGCGCCGTTTTTATTCTCCCTGTGCAGTCAAGAGCTCTAATTAGCTCCTTAAAGCTAGTGACCTTATACACCACGTTAATTGCCAGGACTTAAAAGTACCGACTGCCCTAAATAGACCCACTTATTCTATACATAGTACTCTATTAAGAGGACATTTATCTACCTTGGTTATATTTCTAAAAGAATTTTTATAAGCTTTTAACCTGACTTATCTACTCTTTAAAATGCTATATTTATTTTAAAAACCCTACGGTCTTATGCATCGTGAATTTCGGTAGCGTATTCTAGCTATAAGGCAGTAAGACTGTCAAGATGCGAACGTAAGGACAAAATCGTCATTAGTACTTGTCCTTACGTTAGCGCACTAAGAATTTAGTATGGTGCATTTTATATATAGGGGGAATAAAAATTGGCGCACAGGATGATTAAAAGGGGTCGTCGAGGAGGAGCAAGCAGGTCGCTTGCAAGGCTCTTGTCCAGTCAGAGCGCGGCTCAATATGCGGTACTTGTTTTACTACACAATTATATTGGAGATTCCAGCAAATTTCCTACGCACTAATCGCCACCCGTTTATTCCTTCTTTCTCTATCTTTAATCCGCTTTGCAATGAGCATCTACGACTGTAGAGGCCGCGACCTGCCTGCTCCTCCATGACTTCCAAAGGGATGCGGGGTTGGTCCACCTCGTTTAACCGGAGACGGCCCGGCCTGTCGACACTGTATTTGGCTTTCAGTTTGGGTTAGTCTCTATGTGCCCAGTTTTAGCCAAGCCTGCGTGTCACATGCTTTCCCGACGGTTGACGTGGCATCTTCGCGAACGTTGGAGCCCAACGCCTTAGGCAGTAGATTTCAAACTTCTTACTTATCGTTTGATGTTTACCATCCCATATTTACACTTTACATCGATAGCCATCTCATCTAAGCTCTACAGCCCTGCTAGTGGTGAGTGCTGAAACTGCGTCATCTTCGTCTAAGCAGACGATACTGGTGGAAAATACGAAGCCAACGGTCGGCAATTTCGCGCCACTGCACGTTGCCGTAGCACGTCTGCCCACATGGTAAGTGCCTCGACCTCAAGCGACGTCCTGGCTAAGTAGTTTTTAGGATTTCAATCCAGAGCCCCTCGACCCTAATACAGACTTCAGCGGTTTAAAACCAACACCTAGTCGGATATATATTAAGGTATCTTATTTATTCCTTAATTTTAATAACTTTAGCTTCTATAGGGCACCTTCTATTTATTCTATAGATATAACCGATAACTTCGGTTGCTTACTAGTAGAATTTTAATTTAGCCCCTATAATCGTATAACTAGAGAGTTCGACGTTAACTAGGACTTTATCGAGGTTAATAAGGTATTTAAAGATAAATCTCCTTACTCCTAGCGCTACCTCTTTATTATTATACGTTATATCGGGCCCCTTAATACCTATATTATCGAGGAAATTCCTATAGATATTTAGTATAAGGTCTTATAGGATTCTTTATATTATCCTTATAAATTAGCCGACTAAGTTCGTAGCCCCTTAAGGGAGTATATATATACGTAAGAGGCTAATAGGTATCGCGAATATCGTTAAGTTATAGCTTCTAATATTAAAAGGGATCTAATTATAGCTTAAAAAAAGGTCTAAGAGGGAAAGGATCTTATATATTAAGAAGTAGTTGCTAAACTCGTCTATATTCGGCGGTAGGTTCGTATCTCTTATTATAACGGTATTTATATATATAGCGGAATTAATTAGGCGTAGTCCTCTATCTTTCTTTACTACTAGGAAAAAAGGGTTCCTATAGGGCCCGTGCCCTTCTTTAAGGACTCTTATTTCTAGTCTAATTTTAAGGATATCGATAACTTTCTACTCTATCGCTTTTAGGATCGGGATTAAGGCTACTTACTATGCCTTATATTTTATTATCTTAATAACCTATAGTAGGGCTATAGCTAGGTCGACTTTACCTCTTTTTATAAAGTCCTAGGATAACGCTACTTCCTTATTAAATAGAATACTATCGAAGATCCGGATTTCTACTTCTATAAGAAAGCCTTTAAATTATTTATAGATTGCTTTAAGTCTTTCTTACGTTAGCCGCTTTCCTTTCTATATACTTAAGAATTTTCCTATTAAGTATTCTAGGTAGGGTCTAGGCTATATCTTATCTTTAACGGTATTCTATTTAGTCTTCTTTTAGTTAGGGTCCCCTTTTAGCGTTAAGCCGTCTAATAAAGTATCGTTAATAGGGTTAATCTTATTTACTTTTCTTTTAAAGAGAGTATTAACTCTTAGATTATATAATCTAATAGGTTATTTCCTCCCTATCTTAACTTTAACCTTCTAGATCTTTCGGAACTTCTTTCTAGCTTTAATAATATTTTTCTTAAATTCTCCTATAGCCTCTATAACTATAACTTTAATAATCTCTTTTACTATCTTAGATCTAATAGCTAGAATCGCCTTATCTCCTTTATCTATAATTAATTACTATTATATTAGTACTATTAAGGGCTCGTTTACGCTAGCGTAGGCTAGGTTAAGGACTTAGTTAGCACCCCTTCTATAACTAAGGATCTTACCTCCCGGTAAGAGAATCTCGGCCGTTAGGGTATCCGTAAGGGTTTCTCTCTATAATTATTAGGTAGCTCCTAGGTTATCTTCTTTAACTTTTATTACTAAAGCCTAAAAAAAATTTCTTAGGAGCTAGGTAGCTGTTTCCTATATAGCCTCCTTAAGCTTTAGTCTTTCGTATACGTCTTTATTAACTATTAAGGTCGTAGCCTAAAAGGATTTTACTATATTAACCTCGTCTAGAAGCTCCTATTTAATAGCTCCTACTACTAGCGTAACTACCTAGATAGTGCCGATCTAATATTTAACCTATATATCCCCGTTCCTTAAGGAATAATTAAATAATATACGCGCGGCTCTAATAAATAATATACCTAGGATAAAGGGGACTAAGACTCTATCTAGCGTAATATAAAG